TTGCAACATTTCATTTCAGTAAAATCATTAAGAAAAGAAAGTGTTCAAAAAGTAAGAGGGATAATCAATAATTCAAAAAGATTAATCAAACCCAATGTTTATTCAAAATGTCATAATTTCAGTAAAGTGATTTGTGCAGATTAAGGGATTAGTTTTAGCTATTACTAAAAAAAGATGTGTAAACATATCTTGACCCTATCATAGGCTCACAGTGAGTCACAACTGAGAGTCTTTTACCCTAATGAGTTCTGTTTGTGTTTGGATTGGTTAGGATCATTAAAAGCAAAAAGTATTATATTTAGATATGTTTAAAATATCTGTCAGTGACAGAATTTGTGGTGTCAGAAAGAACACATTCATCTTAATTTGAATGGTTAAAATGCTTTTCAGAGAAGATACAACTTGAAAATCCTGTTCTATGTCTCTGCTCCTAAATGGGAATTCAGTTCTAGGTCTTCTGTGGGCAATTTTCAGACCTGCTTTACAACCATTATAGAATTAATCTGGTTTAAGCAATATTTTTTTCTGAAAACGAACAGAACATCTTCTTAGAAGAGATTTTGTCCCTGTAATTAGTTATCTGCACTACTTGGGGACAAAGAAGATGAGTGCACTAGTCTGCTTGATATAAAACATTACAAAATTCCATGCAGGTTCCTTTAATCAAAGCCGTCAGCCTCAACTAGGCTGCTCTCTGGTCACTCTTGTTTGCATAAAAGAGTTTCAGAAGAATTCCCTTTTACCCCTTTCTTGTTTGCTCTGGAATACAAAATAAAGTAACAGATTTTTTTTTTGAAGTGAAATTCTGGTTGTTTCTGCTATGTATCAGTCAAAAAATTTCACACACTTATAAGTTTCCTCTTGAAACTTGAATAGTAGTTAAAAAAACACAGAGGAAGGTTGGAGTATAATTACTGGGTTTTAGATGAATGAAAATTATGTTAATTAGAAGTTAATAGTAAAGATTATAGGCATTGTAATCCTTGCACTCTAGTGAAAGGAATTACTCAGTATTTCACTAAGATTAAAACCTTCAGCAGATATCTTTATTCTGATTTTTCCTTTAGATTTATGTTTTGCCCTTGTGCCAGGGCCTTGATGTCAGAATCAGCTTTTGGATCAAATCTTCAGCTGGCATAAGCAATGTAGCTCCATATCATTTTACATTTATTGCAAGAAAGCAACTTATGGCAGTAAAAGAGTGTTGTAAGATATAGGAAAAATCAAAAGCTGTCATGAAAGTTTACTGAATAATTTTCAGTGCAAAGCTTGGCTGAAGCAGTAATGAACTGAAATGTCCCACTTACAGCTGCTGCAGTTTTTCATAGCAATGAAATTATTGTATGAAACAGATGCATCTGTAGTGACATTGCTAACACCGATCTCAACTCTGTCACAGTTGTGTAGAAGTAGCAAAATTACAATTTTTCTTATTGAAGAATTTGAAAACCTAAAGTGAAGCTAACAGTAGTTTACCTAAATTGTATGTTACAACTTCATTTTTTATATTAAATATGTAATTGAAGTGCTTTATGTACTGTTTATCACTGCAATGAAAAGGTAGTCAGAATGAACTTCTCTATGCTGTTAAACTGCCTCTTATTAGCATTGAAACTATATTTGCAGCGCATTATCTTAGACTAATTTTTTTTTGTATAAGGAAATTGCCATCAAAGCATAGTTAATCTGAGCTGAATTAGATTATAATTGGAGTCCTTATGAATGGGGATTTAAAATTATTCTGTATTGTCACAGAGTAACAATACATTATTAGGATATTAAAAGTAGTTGGCAGCAGTATCATAAGAGTACATTTCATATTAACATTTTGTGCAGAGTTAACTTAGTTCATTTTTTTGTTTGCACATATTTCTTGTATCTTCTGTTATAATAAACTGCAGAAACATCAGTGCATTTAAGATTTTACAGCTTTAAAAATGCATCACAGATTAAGATATAGCTTAAAAAAGGACTCTATCCAAAGCCTTTTGAAGTCAATTGAAAGACTGCGACTTCAATGAGCTTTGGATGGGGCCCACAATGTGCTTGTTGCAAAGTAACAGCTGTGCAGGCCTTTGTTTGCAGGAGAATCAGAAGTCTTATATTTGATGGTTGAGATACAGTGAAAAGCAAAAAAGAAGAAAGATGGAGGCAAAATAATACATAGCATTTAAAAATGGAAATGAATGCTGTTTGTCTTAATTAGGAGATGCATTACAAGCCTTTGGCTTTTATTATTCAACTGAAAATATTTGAACAAAAAGCATCTGAAGAGGTCAGGATGTTTCTGTGAAGTTTTTGCAGGAAGACATACAAGCACTGTCTTGCAACCAAAAGGGAGTAACATCTTCACAGCTCTTTCATATACAAATGAATGAGAATGGCATATCTACTTGACTTTTTTTATTTCTCCAACATGTACATTAGGGGTAGGGTGGGGGGTGGTTTACTTACATCTTGAAGCAGAAAGAAGTACCAATGACTCAGAACTCAGTTTGTTAGGGAGTGAAATTCAACTACTTTTTCAAGTCATATATGATTACGTAGTTGGTAACCTTTAGAAGTAGTTAACATGGCAAACATTGGCATAACACAGTCAGTTCTATGCCCAGTGAGTAGAAATAAATGTGAGAAATCAACATTGTCAGATAAAATACATTTGAATGTCTAAATAGATGTGCCAGCTGATGCTTACTGAAATCTTGTGTGCATATCTATCTATCTACTTATCTATCTATCTATCTATCTATCTATCTATCTCAATATCACTTTTAAGAAATACAGCTATATAAAGGTAATATACCTCTTGGCTGTCATTTGCTATAGTGTTTTCTCAGGCTTGTTAATAGCAGAACAACAATGCTTTTATTTTAACTTTCCTGTTGTAATAACTGTCTGCATTATTTCTGTTTTGCTTTATATACAAGACACTGCTGAAGAGGCAATGGCAGTGGCAAACACAGCCATGCAACTGTATTTTGGGGTTTTGGTATATATTTCAGCTGAATGAAATTAAGAAGGAAAGGTAGTGGCAGAAAGGAAGAAAGGTTGAGCATTAGGACCACTCTCCTGCTATCAGAGGGAACACATAATATAATGGCTTAATAAAAGGATCAAGATCTATCAAATAAATTTTTACCATCACTGCTCTACTTAAAGGATGGTTCCAGATACTCCTCGCTGTAACACCATGAAATGCCTTTTAATTACCCAAAGAATTTTACTCTTGATCATACCAGTTTATTCTTCTGACAATCTCAATTTTAACATTCATTCTTAGTGTTTATTACTACTGCATTTATCCAGACTACAGTTTAGATGTGACTAGTGACAAAAATTTTATTAGCACATCTGAGGACTGAGAACAACTGCTACCCTGTTATTAACTCCTAATGAAAAGGTAACTTCAGATAAATGCATCTAGCCCTTATGGCTGTAAAGAAAATCTTCTGAGTGGTAGCTGAATCTATACCCATGTAAGGCCAAGAACGCTGTGGACATGAAAGTACAGCAACTGTATAGGTTCTTGTCCTCTTTTAATTTTTATTTACTGTGAAAGAATTAATGTCTTGATGGGCTCACGTAAAATACATTGAAAATTGCCTAATCAAAGTATAAAAGAAATGAGACTAGGAAATACTTGACTTTTAAAGAGCCCTAGGGGCTTTGTCCACTGAAATTTTACAAAAACAAAAGAAAATGTTGCCACTGCACCTGTTTTCACTGATCAAATGTTAGTACTTTGCGGGAGGAGGCTTGTGCAAATCTTTATACGATGATATATAAACATTTTGAAAAATGCATTGAAATGAATTATGGAATATTCTTGGATCTTTCTTCTTTTCTGGGTACTTGCAACATCTTGTTGAATATCGCTACTCAATCAAAATCCCAAAAGTATATGTTAGAAGATGTATATACTTATCAGAAGCACAGAAGTAGTTTGTCTGGATACATTAGCAATACAAATTTAAGAAAGACTGTACTGTTCAGAGCTTGCGATCATTAAAAACCCTTTGACAATTGGGGACTTTTGGCTAACGTTTTTATTAAAGGACAGAACCATTTCTTCATTCATTACCCGAGCTGGAGAAGGAATGTTAACTTTCCCTACAATTGCTGCGATGTTTCCTTAGATTTGGGAAATAAATCATATGCTATAATTTGCATTTCCCCACTTCTGGACTGACTGCTTCTACTCCTTCATGACTGCAGCAGCAAAGGGAAAGGTATAATGCAAAGCCTCTTCTTCAAGAGACATTTTAAAATATTATTTTCATGACAAGATTTTCTGTTTTCCTTTTCCTCGCAGCTTTGGATGGCTAAAGATGTCAAAGGCAGGAATACTTTAATAGTTTTATTTGTTTCATGTTACAAATATCTTACTGTAAGTAGGTGCTGTAGCAATGTGCTTCTAAGCTTTTTAATGTATTATCAATGTCAGCCTAACTCTCAGATAACTTCTCTGCAGCTAGCTAGGACTTGAAATAATGAGCTTCTTAGAGCACTGAATCAGAGCAAAAAAATAGAGGAAATTCCATTGCGAATATTGTACTTGCGAAACAGTCTTGGCTGCCTGTAATTTAGTAAGAGTACCAGGCACTTTCTTTGATCTTAATGTTTAAATGTCTCTAAAGAAAACTTTGTTTAGTTTTATTTCTTTTTCCATTTCACACCTGAAGTCATTTTCTTTGTTTTCCTGTAAAATGTTCAACAGAAAATTAATGTGTTTTGGATCAGGCACATGAGCATTTATTTGGCCTTGCATTATTTATTAATAAAATTTATTTATTTATTTTTTACTTTCTGAACAAGAAAAAAAATCCTTTTTCCTGTGAGACATATTCTCCAGTTGGATTAATACTGTTCATTGCTTATGTTCAGTGGGGAGACAGACATATATGTAAGCATCAGACAACCTATATTCAATGGAATTTTAGGACATTCATAAATACTAAAGCCCAATCCAAAAGAAATTTAGAAAATGAAATAAAGTTGAGGTGTCCAGGAGCAGAATTCAACATAATTTTTTACAGCAAACAGAGTTTAATTGACCCAGATGTGGCATTACAATACCCTGCACAACAAAGTGCAGTCAGCTAAGCCAATGTGGAAGGACTGTTCAGGGAGCAAGTGTGCCTGAAACAACATCATACTCGGAGAAACCTCTCCCTGCTCTGCTGCGGTCTGTTACTACGTAAGTTCAGGGTTTGCAGTACTCTCTCATGGACTTAAATGCCCATGATGTCCTCTGTGATTTCACTATGGCTCTGTGTCTTTCCAAAAAATGGCAGTATTAGTTACTCACATTTTGTACAGTAGTCTTAAGACTAGAACCATTGCCTGACAATCAGGAGACATAGGTTTTAGATGCAGACAAAGAAACTACAGATTGTTTTTCTGGATTACTGCTAAAATAACATCCAAGACACACAACAAGTTCATTTGACTTCACATGGGTCAACTTTCGCTGAGTTCCAGCTACCACTTCTAAATTTCATTTCAATATCTTGCCTAGTATAATTTTTGGGGGGAACTTGGAAGAGAAGACACATGCATAACACTTAAAGGCACAATGTTCTATAAGTAACCAAGTATTTTCACTGTTGAACATGATTACACTGACACTTTGTTTAGTGCTTGAGACTCTCACACTTCTACATGTGTTTAAAGCAAGGAATAGCCATTTGTTTTGAGATTTGAAATGGTTTTCTCCATGTTTTCAGGAATTAAAAGCTTTTGATTCCTGTTGCTTTCATCATTTCATTGTAGATAATTGCTTGGCAATTTTTGTCAAATCCTGAGTTTTGAAAAGTGACCACTGCAATTCTCCTATCAAAAGACACTGCTGAGTGCTAGAGGAATAGGACTGCTAATATTATTATTATGAAGAATTTAAATTAATAGGAATTATTATTAAAAGGAATGCTACTTAATGGGTAGATTTTCAGGGTTAATTGCATTTGTGCCTCAGTTGTTCACAGTTGAGGAAACCAAATGCAAATTATGTGTTTCAACAGAAATGTCAACCCATTGTTTGATTTGGAAGCATTCTGATTTGAAATATCTCATTAGATTGACAGGCTGCTTCTTAAACAGTTTCTGCTTTGCTTTCCTGCATACTAGAAAGCATACATGAGTCCTGTGGGCACATCCAAAGGTTAGACTATGTTATATCAAAATAACTAAAGGAAGTGAACTGAAAACTGAAGTGTATTGCCTTGATAGATTTTATAGAAAACAAGAATACACAGAAAATTTTTCTGTATTGTCATTGAGTGGAAGGTAAATACAGGAAGAAGTGTGACAACTATACAGAGAATTATATGCATTAGTAGGGCTGATGATTTTTCTAATGATCTCCAAATAGAGAAGTAGGTTGTGTTTTCATCACTGCTGCTATCAGACTGCTGGAACATTTGCATGACTATATACTAATTATCACTCTAGTATCCTACCTGTTCTTAAGCTGATGACACCACTCTTCTTTTCTTGTCATTGCATCTCATTTTTCTGTTTTCAAGGATGTATAAGTTCAAATGAAAATGGAGGGACATATCTCTTTTTCCTTTGTTGCCTACCAAGTAAACAAGAGTTTTTCAGAGCAATAATAATAATAATTTAATAAATATGTGTTAAAAAATGCTTAAATTCATGATGGTTGCCAACAGAAAATAAAAACTTTCATACAGTTGTTCATTTCATCATCAGAAAAGTTACACAAAGCAAAAGAGGGATGCCAGGATGTACAGAAATTGTGTTAAATGTCTTGGAATTTAATAAAAAATCATGGTTTTCTGAGGATTTCTGTGTTTTGTCAAATATCGACTCATAAATATGCTTTGTGGACCCTATTTTGTATGTTCAGTCTCTAAGAACTGTGTTACAAGATGCAACACATGGAACAAAGAAATGGCTTTTGATCAGCCTGACTTAATTTACAGCAAGTAGTATTGACAGCAAACTAAGATTCCTTTTGTCATGTTGTACATTCTTCTATCAAACTTTGCCTCCATTTTCAATCTATGCAATTATCCCTAGGTTCAGGATAGAACTGCACTATATATACACTAGATAAACAGTGTTAATAAAGATTCAGGGATAGGATTACTTCTAGTGTTTTCAGCTAAGCTTCAGGGCTGATCCATAATTTTAGCTATGCATTCTTGTTAGTTAACTGTTTCATCAGTTTCCTTAGAGTTACAATCGCATCTATTCAACATTCTGTTCAGCAATGATTTGGAATTCATTTGTGATCAGACACATGGAGCCATGACAAAAAAAAAGAGATATTTAACATTTAAAATTTTCAGCAAATACTGTTTTTAAAATAATTTTCTAAATTCCTTGAGCAGCTTGTAATTTAGAGGTGGTAAAAAAGTTGTTTAAGGACAAAGATTTTGGTTTTAATAAGCTCAGTATTTCAATGGAAATACCCCACCAAGATTCTCAAATGAGCTGTTTCTTTCTAAACAAATAGATGAATGTGCAGATACTGATGAAGATGGAAATCCCAGGTTTTTTTCTGCACATATTGAACTCATGAATTAAAAGCATATCACAAGCTTTCATTTAAATGGTGCATTTCACTGAGTTTTGGAATAACTTCTGTTATTCAGATAGCACCATTATATGCTTTCCTGTGAATACTGAAGACTGGTTTTCTTTACAGAATGCAACCCACATTTTTAACACATTTTTAAAATAGTTCAATTTACCATGAGATGTAGCAATTATATTTAAGCCTTTACATTATTTGAAAACTGTAGGTGAATAAAGGTCATGGGGGTTGGAAAATACCAAATACATTCTACCAAATGAAGGCTGATGGTGACCCCATAGATCCCTGAAGACAGAATAAATAATGGTTCTTTTGCAGCAGACCTTGACTTTAACCAAAACTGGACCACTCATTCTTTAACCAGAAAACGTGCAAGACATAGAGCTGCTACTATGTAATATTTAAATTTATGTTGACCATCTTCAGCCCTTTTGTAAGATTCAGTTCAATCTGAGAATATACTCTTGTCTTCACAGAAAAGGCGGAAAATCTGAAAAGGGGATCTCAACTAGAGAAGTTCTTAGGATTTCCTTGCTCATATCGAAATAATATCCATGGTGAAATCTGTGTTTTCCTTTATTTCTGAATGTCATTCCTATGACTTTTAGTTGCATGAATCCTGGCTTCCTATAGGACGTATCTAAACATTTCTGCAAGTAACAGTATATATGAAGGATTTACACATATTAACATGTTTTATTCTGAGCCCAAATAAATAAAACCTTCTTAAGTCTAAGTTAGTTTTTATTCCAGTCTGATGACAGTTTTTCAACCATCCTAAATATCTTTCAAAACACCAGGACAAATGTACATTATTTTAGTGGGATAATAAGGCTAGGTAAATTCCCCTGTTTCAAGAGGTGAGAACTCTTGCAGCAATAAAAACATTACTGCAAAGGTTTCTCTCACTTATTTTCTGTATTTGTTTAATTCTCATGCACAATCAGAATAAGTTTTCTAACCAATGGGACAGAATGAAAGGAGGAGCATTGTTGAATGTAGGAAATAATGTTAAGGATACAAAACTTTGGCACTTTCCTCAATTCTGGAAAGAATTGAAATTAATTGTAAAGGGCAGAAAAATTGACTCTTTTTTTCCATACACTTGGTAGAACATTTTTTTTTCTGTGTTATTTGTAGTACTAGCTATTTGGATCAATGGATTGCTAATTAGAAACTGACTTTGGAAGGCTGCAGCATGCTTCTCAATGATTCATGTGTTTGCATTGATTTTTGCATAAAAGCAAAATCTAGCTGTACTATTTAGCACTTAGAAATTGGTCCTCAATGAACTATTTGTAGCTTAATAGGCTTGATAATACTTGGAAGCTCATTATTGTGTTTTTATCATTATTTCTTGGATTAGACTGTATACATACACACATATGTATATACACACAACACTCAGTCACATACGGAGTTGTATTAAGCCAAAAGACAAGGTAGGCAGCAGCTTATGGCAGCAGACTGTAAGCTTCATCTATGCCAAAGATGAGGCCTGGCTTTCCAGGCTGAACAGCAGGTCTTTGTTTCCTGCTTTATACAGCCATCTTCCTCTCCTGCTGTTGCTAACACTCAGTGAGCAAACAGGATGTAACCTAGGGATGTGCAGATTCTTAGGGAAAGGAGGGTCACTTTTCTGTCTGTCTTTCCTTCAGGAAGGTGTAGGAGAATCCACCCCTTTCAATGTTCTTCTGCTGCTTATCCCACTAAGAATAGATCTTGCCTCTGTGGAAGAACAGGATGCTGCAGGCCCTCTTATTGGGGAAAGGGTAGTAGATGAAGGTGGGTCCACGGGTGACAAAAAAAGGGTGGACAGCAAAAGTCCTGTGCTTCAGGACAGTGAGGAAGAGGAAGATTTCCTGTGAAAGGAGTCAAGCTCTCAGAAGCGCAGAAGGAGAGGAGAAGAACTGTCACTACCCTGATAACACAACCCCACTGAATCCTCACTTAGCTTCTCCAGCCTTTTTAGTCTTCTCAATCACTTTCTACCCAGAATATCATGGACCTTCACTGACCTCTGATTTTCTAGCTCCAGTCCTACTCCAGAAACCCCATTCTCTCCCCCCACAACCCATCTGTTCTGTCCGCTGAAGCCTCCACTGAATCTTTTCAGCCTCTTTCTCCCATCTGCTGTGACCCATATTGCTGCTTCCATAAAACTGATTCTGCCTACACTGCTGAGAAGCCTTCAGCTGAGTTAGCATATACAATATGGATTGTTGGTGTCATATGGCCTATATATGTATGTGTCTATAAATAGATTTATTGTCTGATATGCAGCCAGCAGTTCAGCCAAGGTTTCTATGAACATTCTTAACCTTTTGTCCATGAACACTTAAAATATAAATATAGGCACCTGCTAAAGTTCCTTGCAAAACTAATATCCAGATGGTTAGTTACAGGATCTGTATCTAAGATTCAACTTCATTCTCAATCTGTGGACATATTTAAGGCTATTGATGATAGATCTTTACTTCCAAATCCATGAACTTGCTAAGAACAAGTTTTTGCACTTAACTGCCAAGGTCACCCTGACTATTTTATCATATCTTTATTTATCACAGCCAAAAGATTACTGGAAATTGTTTTTTGCTCCATTTTTCAGTTTTGCATTGAATTTTGCCGTATGTAAAGCTGTATTTCTTCATGAGAAGTGGTTTTCAATTTAAAACTTGCAACACACCTGAATTCTTTGAAAAGGATAGCAATTAGATTAACCGTTTAACAAATCTTTAAAGCAAAACACTGACATTGCAGTGAATCCAGCTTTGGTTTTCAACTTTAAAAATGTGACTAGCACAGAACATGCACTAATCCAGAACAGTATCAATTAACCACAGGCACCCAACTGTAAGAGCTACTTTAGCAGACAGGTGGAATTGGACTAATTATCATACAAGGTTACACAGAAGGAAAAAAGGCCTACAGTCTCTCCAGGAGAATTACAAGCCAGTGATGGCCCCCTCCCTTTGCTGCAATTACCTCCAAATCGCACCTGCCAACCTGCAGGGAAGCATTCCCATGGTTTGTGGCTGAGAACACAGTCAGGTAAACTGTTCTTTTAGTTGGATTAAAATTCTTCCATACCTCTACTTGTTTCAAAGAATGCTGTACTGTATCTGTTTCTGCAGTAAAAAAAGACACTAACAATATAAAAAACACATTAGAAATTATATATATATATTTAAATTATTTAATGAGTTTTAGGTTGAGATACCATTGAGAGATTTCAGTCTCAGAATGGTTCTTATAATCATGGCTAAACTGAGATGCCTTTCTACACAGATACGAGAATGCTCCTCTGTTTAAGGAGGAGACCAGGATCTAGACAGGGATCTGTAGAAGCATTTGTGCTGAATGAAAAACTCGCTTAGTTTGTAAGCAAGAAGTGTTAATACAAGAGTGAAATTTCATGGCCTGAATCTTTGGAGAAAGAGATGAGATATCTAAGAAGCAGAATGTCACCTCTTTTACTTGGGATTCTCAGTGATACATCTTAGGCCTAGACCATAAGTCATCTTTTTCCTGGAGGTTGTGAGAGTTTTCTCTCACTTCACAAGTTTGTCATTCTAACCTGTACCTTGGAGAAGATGAGTGGTAGAACCTATGAGAAAGATCTCCATTATTTTTGTTAAGTACCCTTATCTTTGTTTTGTAAGTATACTCTTGCTCACAATGGTTATATCCATTTAAATATTTTTAAAGTGATGAGACATTTGAATCATTTGGATTAATCATCATTTGGATTAATCATCCAAATTTTTGTGGCAGATAATTTCTGATGTTAAGAATCCAATTCTCTATGACTGAGGTAAATTGCCAACAAGTCTTCCTGATGGTCTTTTAGATGGAAGAATGCAGTGTGTACAGATTATTTGAAAATGATAATTTTAGAGAAATTAGTTTGCATGAGTGAGAACAGAAAACATTTATTTTCTTGAAAGAAAACTGTGTTAATTGCAACTGCTCTCATTCATTGTGTCTGTCTGACTCAGTACATGCAGAGACAGTGAGAGGGCAGTGCTATATGCAAGCAGTCAGACTCAATACATGGAGAAAGAAAATGACAGCAGCCATTTGTGTGATTAACTTTCACATGATTGTGCTATGTCCAGTGTTTGAATCTTAGCTGTAGAGTCCAGATGGTGTCTTATGGAGAGCCAGTGCTTCGATCTTCAACACTGTTTCTACAGGTCTAGAGCTAAACCACTGGATTAAAGATTTGAGATCTATATTTGTGGTCATGAGATGGTCTAATGCACATCTGGAGTCTGAGAACTGACATGTAGACATAGCTGCTATTATTCTAAAGAAGAATTATCAGAGGGAGAGTGAAAGACAGGAAAGATTAAAATAAAGAACATTGGATTTCAAATTTACTCTTGACAAAAATAGATTTAACCTCACTTATTTTTAGAAAATTATTGACACACATTTTCATTGCAGCTTAATTGTCTTCAATACATTAATTTATTTTACAGTGATATTGTACACACTGCAATGTTCATATGGTATGAACTTAAATATAAATATTTTCATTAATTGGATCCATGATGCCAGCAAATTTTAAAACCAATCTTACACTGGACGTGATCTTATCAACTCTGTTATATTGACAGATATCTAGAAATTTATTTGATTCTACAAGTAAACTGTTTCAGTGATTTGTATCAGAAATGCTCAATAGAAGCCCAGTGGTGTTATTGGAAAAAAATTATTTTCTTCAGTTTTTGTGTTAATGAGTTAGTTTAAATAGAAAAGGTCATATCAGTCAGAGTAGGGGCTGGTTCTGTAATTCTATGATTTATAGTATACTACACTGTTATCAGGCCTTATATATGAATTTTTGGTGGTTTTGGTTTTTTGGATAAGGCGGATTTGCTGAAAAAAGTACACTTGGAAAAGTGGCTTATAATGTAGGGTAGAGAGAAGCATACCTGGTAGTGTCATCATATCCCTTTTGGAAGCTATACTGAGAATGAACTATGATCAGGATGATACTTGCAGCTAGGTCAAAGGTGAGAAAGAAGTTAATCAATAAGAACAACCAGGATTCCAGTTCTCATTCACTCGTCCTATTTAATTTGGCAGTGTAGACATACCTAGTGAGGTTATGTCTGAGTTTCCTTGTCTTTGGCATGGGAATCAAAGATGAGAAAGGTATGATAAAGGTAAAGATGGTCTATATGGGATCAGCCACTGACCCAACTTTCTTATCACGCTGTTTTTTCAAGAACATATGGAAATTCAGGGTTCAGAGAGTCTTCATAGTCATGCCCCTTAGATGTAAGGCTTAGGGTTATGTTTACAGCGCAAACTGCAGTGTAATAGAGAGAGAACTGATTTTGTGTTAAATGGATTATTTCAGGTTCTCACAGCCTTGCCACAGCAGAGGATTTACCTCTGCAAAATATCATACTGGAAAGAATACAACTGGCAGTGAGTTCCTGCAAACTTTTATGTTTACTGGATTGCTTTGAGCTGTAAGACAAGGTTTGGGCCAGTTCTTCATTTACCTTTTCCTACATCATTCCTCTTTCAACAAATCCTAGTCAATCACAGACAGAATTTTACCAAGATATCTAGGGATTATCTTTCCAGATAGTGTGCTCATAGCTACTTTTTCAGCCAAAGGGCTAAAGTAACTCTTGTCACAGTTTTCCTTTAAGGAATCAGAGTATATCTGTTATTCAAATACAGGATCTCCCCTTTGTTCTCCCTCTGCATGCACACAAAAATCCATATTTTCCTCTTGAATCCATGCTTCATGCCCTCGTCCCTCATCTCTGGTCCTCCAGGTTTTCAAAATCTTCCCACCTGTTTCTCATAACATAGCGTTTACACTTACTCCTTCCAATGTGTGAACTCTTCATGGTGAAGCATGTCAGAATAAGCCTTCGCTTTATTGCTTCTTTGTGTGGATACAATCTACTTGATATATATCCTCTGAAATGTATGTCTGTAGATTTATGGGAAAATGAATAAAACAGAAATTAAAACTGACAGCTTTGAAGTGATACGCTACCCTTAGCATATGGGCTACCTCACACGAACACTTTACAGGATTTGTATTGGGATTATGGGCAGTAACTCAATGGGGGATAACTTCTGAACTATATTCCTAAATCTCATTTGACAGGTTTTGGATGCTGTATAATTCTTACAGTATTATTATGTCACACCAGTGATGCTGCAGTCATCACTAAGGTAGTCCCTTAATTCTTAGTGTCAATTTTGTCTTATAATTGCTTTTGCAGTGAGACTTTGTATGTTTTTTCCAAGCAGACAAATGAGCTTCCTTAAAAAAATTAAATGCTTCTTTCTCCAGCAAGACATGTTTTGAAGATCCAGTTTCCTCATAAATAGGCAGCTATATCTGGAGAGAAACAACAGCAACAATCCTTTATGTTCTGAGCTTTTAAATATATACTAATGATTTGCAGTATCAGCTTTGGCACCATTAAAATAAAAAAGTAAGGAAGTAAAGATGTGTAAACAACGTTATTTTTATTCTAATTTCTTCCAGTATTGGTATACATTAAGGATCTTACATCTTTAGGAGTGTGAGTGAAAGATTGGGACAGGTTCATTTACATAAGACAGAGAGCAGACTCCTTCTGACACATCCAAATCCAAGACCAATGGTTAAGTAATTTTTCTTGGAATATGGAAATAATAGCAATTTAACATGCAATATTTGTCTTCTGGTTAGCCTGGTTGGTATTTCCTGCAGTCACTTTGCAACCATTGCAATTTACTGTTCCCCTCTTAGAAGTAACAGAAGTATTGAGGAGAGAAATGGGGTGAATATCAAAGTTCTTCAGCCAAAGCAGCCACAACCTGAAGAAAAAGCAGCAGATAACTTGAACTGAAAAAAAGATTGCTTACTGTGGATCAAAAAAAAGTCTTCTTTTCTGCATAGCTGTAATTGCATTTGCTGGCTTAACCTCTCTGATTATTTTTATACAATCTTTCTGAACAAATCAGGTATTGCCACTGGTTTGGTGTCAGGAGAGTAGGACGTATAGGAACTCTTTTCTGATAGGAGCCTTCATTTTTATTTGCTTCTACTCATTCTGTAAAATGCACCATGTATGTTTGACAGTTACTTGAGCCCCGTGCTTGTGCTCTAGATAGATTGGGAATAGATTTGCAGAGTATATATAAGCTGTGCTTTGTACTGTTTGGAATACCTTTGTTCCAGAGTGTGCATTTCTGTCATTGTTAAAATATCCTACAAACATGTTTTTGCTTTCTTTGGAGACAGATTGTTACTTTCAAAGACTAGTAATAACTGCTTTCAAGCTATGTGCTTTTATGATCATAAAATGGAATTGGTTCTTCACTCCAGATGCAATAATTTTATAGTTAGTCAATATAATTTATAGTTGATTTCAAGTAAACATGAATTTATTTATGTTGGTGAAATTCCAGCCATTGTGCTGCATTACAGTCCAAATGGATTATGAAGCTCAAGCAGAAGGACTGGATGAGAATGAGGGAAAAGGAAAAGCAAATTTCCCCTGGTCACATGCAGTAGCTGAAGAACCAGTTCATGGAAGCTACATCCAAACTGAGCAAGTGTCTCTGCCAAGAAGAGATTAGGAGGTTCTGCACAACAATGAATACTCTAGCTCTTTGTGTATTCTTACTTTCTTTTCAGAGACATTGGCATATGGAGTGTCAGTGAATTTTAGCTGCCTACATTGTAGTCTACGCTATTCCTGCAGGAATTCCTGTTGCACGTATGTACTATATGCACATGCATATAATACATTTTATCTTCTAGCCTTGTTTTATTTTGTTATGGAAGTATATTTGAACATTTGGGAAAAAAGCGCGTTTTAAAATATGTGTCTCATCACAAAATAGTAAAAGTGGCATATAAGGGGTTAATGGAATGATGAGGCAAAAACCTGCAGTGCCAGCAGAATTCCCCAAAGGGTAAACAAAACTCTTAACTGTTGCAAACAATAAATTGTCAATACCTTGTAGAAACAGTGGATAATGAAAAGTTATAATGCCTATAGTTAGTACCCTCTTTAAAAGAATTTACACAGGATATGAAATTAAATTCTATGCACAGTTCTCTTAATTTGCCCTTAATTAAACAATACTCCATAAATGGTGCATTCAGTGACCAAATGTTCAGAGACAGCAAAATGGTGGGTCCCAAGCCATTAGGAATGAAATAAAGTCAGTCCCCTGAGAGCCTGCTAGAATCTGGTCTATCTAAGTGACAACTGATGGTTTAGGAAAGATAATTAACTTTGCAATTACAAACCGCAGCTTTCACCAATGCTGTTTCTTTCAGTATTCTCTTCTAAATGTTTTACTATTTTTACAGTGAGATAACATGCTTTTTAAAAATTCTGAGTTCATAGGGATCCATTTTTCCTACACAAAAATAATTTGAATATGTTATTTTAAATATTTCAGGTCAATAATTATATGTACAGTTATTTTATAAATTACAGAAGATAAATGTTATATTTTATATGACTGTCAAGATTTCTTTCTTCACTTTAAAGATAAAAGAGCCATGCTGCATCAAACAATTTTCATATTTTTCCTTTGGTAGCAAATCCTGGACCTAGCAAAACTAAATTAAGTTTGTTCTTTAGCCATGCAGACTGAAATTCTCTTCAGCACAGGGAACATCAGTTCTAACCTGCTAATGTGCTTTCATATTGATAAAAAATACCTCCATTGAATGGGAATTGCTAGTTGAATCCGTGTGTCTGTACCCTTGATTATCTTTACCATAATGTCTCCTAGCACATGAATTAGTGTATTTTCATGCTGCCATACATGTAATGAAATCTTCAAATATGCAATATACTCATACTTACATTGGTATTTTGATATGATGTATTAGGAGATTATGAAAAAACTTAGCTTAAAGGGTATAATATTATGTTTGACTGTAGTGTTTTGTTGAGAGTGTGGATGTCTGTGTACTGAACAGAATTCCAGGTAGGTATGGATTCAGGTAAGGAAGAAGACAGAATCAGGACCCAAAATTTGTGAAAAATCTATGTAACTTTATCTGCTGTGGTTTTGTATACTGTAGTATGCTGAACAGCACTAGCACTGGCTTCAGAAAATCCCAACTTTAGTGACCAAGTTAATCTGGCGTGCTATAAAGGACCAGTTCAAACTGGCAGCGATAAAAACACAAAGGGAAGGCTGAGGGCAAACAAAAGAGACTTCAAGGCCCTGGGATGATTGGTAGAGGGATCAGGAGCACAGGTAGTAATTTTCTTACTCCTTCTGGAAATGAGGAGTAATATTGATAAAAATAGGCATTGATCCATCAAATCAGTGAGTGGCTCTGAGGTTGGTGTAATTGGAAAAAATTTAGGTTTTTTGACCATAGGATGATCTATTCAACACCTGGTCTACTGACATCTGATGGGGTGTACCCATCTCAGAGGGGAAAAGAAGTTTTAGTGTGGGAGCTAGCAGGGCTCCTTGAGAGAGCTTTAAACTAGCTTGGAAGGGGGAAGAGGACAAAATCAGGCTCGCCAGTGATGAGCAAGAGGATGGTGTGCCAAAACTTGAAGAAACCAGCACTAACGGGATCCCTCAATCTGCCTCACGAGGGTTTGGCTACAGTGTATCATACCTGAAATATTTCTACACTAATGCACTCAGCATGAGGAACGAACAGGAGGAGCTTGAAGCTTTGGCCCAGTCCCAGAGATTTGACTGGCATAAGTAACACCTGGTGGGATAAGACCTGTGACTGGAGCGCCCTGTTGAACAGTTACAGACTCTTCAGGAGGAATAGGCAGGGCAGAAGAGGCTAAGGGGTGGTACGGTATGTAACAGAAGGGTTAGAATGCAGAATGTATAGAGCTCACAGTGGATAATGAGAGCATTGAGAGCCTCTGGGTAAGAATCAAAGGGCAAACAAATAATGTGGGTGTCGTCATGGGAGTCTACTATAGACCTCCCAGCCAGGACGATGATGCCAATGAATAATTCTTTGAGGAACTGAGGGACACTTCCAAGTCAAGTGCCCTTATCCTTATAGGGAACTTCAACTTGCCAGAAATTGACTGGGTGCATCACACAGCTGGTATAACCCAGGTCAGATGATTCCTAAAAAACCTGGATGACAACTTTGTGGAACAGGTCCTAAGGGAGCTGACTCAGAAGTGTGCCCTCCTTGATCTGCTGCTTGTCAACAGGGTGGATCTTGTGAGCAAAGTGGAGATTGGTGGCCGTCTTGGCCACAGCGACCACAAAGCAATTGAGTTTAAAACTCCCTTGAAAAGTGCCAGCAAAACCTCAACTCCAGACATGAGGAGAGTAGTCTTCAGGCCGTTCATGGAATTAGTAAGGTCCTCTGTGAAAATGTTTTTGCAGGTGCTGGGGTCCATCAGTGCTGGTCACTTTTCAAGAATCACCTCCTAAGGACACAGGAGCATCAATTCCCAAATGTTGGAAGTCAAGCAGGTGAGGCAGAAGCTGGCTTGATTGAACAGGATTCTTCTCTTGGAAATAAGACAAAAAAAGGAAGGTGTATCCCCAGTGGAAGCAAGGTCAGGTGACATGGGAAGAATTCAGAGATGCTGCTTGCTGCAGTAGGGAGAAAGTTCATGTAGCCTAAGCTCAGCTGGAGTGGAAGCTGCCAGAAATGTGGAGGACAATAAAAAGAGTTTTTTCAAATATCTTAATGGCAATAGGCAGTATAGAAACATCATCAACCCATTACATGATGAGGACGGTCACCTCACAAACAGAGACAGAGACAAGGCAGAGGGGTTTAATGCTTTCTTGTCCTCTGTCTTCCATACGGATGAGGGACCAAGGGTGTCTCAGTGCCCTGAGATGGAGGATCATGGCAGTGAGAATGATCCTCAAATTGTGTGGGATCTGCTGCTCCAGCTGGATCCCTACAAATCCATGGGGACCAGTGGGATTCATCCCAGAATCCTCAAAGAGCTGGCTGATGTCATCATAAAATCTCTCACAATGAATTTTGAGCAGTCTTGGGAATCTGGAAAGATCTCAGCTGACTGGAAGCTGGCAAACATTGTCCCAATTTTCAAGAAGGGCAAGAAGGAGAACCTCAGAAACTACAGGCCTGTCAGTCTCACTTCAGTGTCTGGTGAAGTTATGAAGAAGATTATTCTGGGAGGTATTGAAAAACATCTGAAAGACAACACAGTCATTGATCACAGCCAGCATGGGTTCATGAGAGGAAAGTCCCGCTTATCAAACCAAATTTCCTTTTAGGACAAGGTAACTGCCCTAGTTGAGCAGGTGAAGCCAGCATATGTAATCTTTTTGGATTTCAGTAAACATTTGATACTGTCTCTCACAGGATTCTTCTGTACAAAATGTCCAGCACACAGCTGGATAAATACATCACATGGTGGGTGAGCAATTGGCTCATAGGTCAAGCACAGAGGGTGATAGTGAAGGGGGTGACATCAGACTGGCAACCTACAACTAGTGGGGTTCCACAGGGCTCCGTTGTAGGCTATGTGCTCTTCAACATCTTTGTAAATTACTGGGATGGGGGACTAGAAGGGATATTAAACAAGTTTGCAGATGACACTGAGAGGAGATGTTGACTCCCTTGAAGGTAGGGAGGCCCTGCAGAGACATCTCGACAAATTAGAGGATGAGAAATCACCAACCATGTGAAGTTCAACAAAGAGAAGTGCTGGATTCTGCACCTGGGATGGGGCAACCCTGGCTGTATGTACAAACTAGGGAATGAGATGCTGGAAAGCAATGCAGTGGAAAGGGACCTGGGGGTCCTGATCAATGGCAAGTTGAATATGAGTCAGCAGTGCCCTGACAGCCAGGAGGACCAACCGTGTCCTGAGGGGCATCAGGCAAAGCATCGCCAGCCAGCTGAGGGAGAGGATTGTCCTGCTGTGGTCTGCACTGGGGCCACCTCACCTTGAATATTGTGTGCAGTTTTGGGCATTGCAATATAAAAAAGATGTTCAACTCTTAGAGAGTGTCCAAAGGAGGGCAATGAAGATGGTGAAGGGCCTTGAGGGGAAGCCATATGAGGAGCGGCTGAGGTCACTTGGTCTGTTCAGCCTGGAGAAGAGGAGACTGAGGGGAGATCTCATTGCAGTTCCAACTTCCTCATGAGATGAAGAGGAGGGGCAGGCACTGATCTCTTCTCTGTGGGGACCAGTAACAGAACCTGAGGGAATGGCCTGAAGTTGTGTCAAGGGAGGTTTAGGTTGGATGTTAGAAAAAGATTTTCATCCAGAAGGTGGTTGTGCACTGGAACAGGCTCCCCAGGGAAGTGGTCACAGTACCAAGCCTGACAGGATTCGAGAAGCATTTGGATGATACTCTCAGGCACATGGTATGACTCCTGGGGATGGTCATGTGCAGGGCTAAGGGTTGGACTTGATGATCCTTATGGGTCCCTTCCAACTCAGCATATTCTGTGATACACCGATTTAGTAGCTGAAAGTAAAATTTAGACCCTGCCTGAAGTGCAGCAGCTTCCTTATCATCAACTGCAGACTGCTGCTGATGCCCGATGTCAGACTCTGCTGTAAGCAGCATGGGTCCTGGCCCTGTTTACTGGGATGTCCCATGGAAGTCTTCTCCTCCAATCAACTCATCCTTTTGCCAGTGTTCAGGGGAAGCTGACTTATCCCTCTTTGCCACCATGGTAAGTGATCAGGACATTTTTCTCACACCCTTTAAGTTTGAATTGGAACATCATCAGCAACTTTCTTGTTTGTACACACGTACAACTGAGGATGCAACACTCTCAAATCTCAGTCACAGACTCTGAGGGCTCTGAAAGAATAAATTATTTTAAATAACATATATCTTTCTCTTCATGGTGCATTTTTGTGAATTGTGCTATATAACTCCAGTTGCGTTGGTCACATCTGTACAACTTTACATTTGTCATTTATGTGTAGTTAACCTTAGAAAAGCAAGGAAAACACTGTGATAATAGCTTAGTATTTGAATTGCACTAGTTTTAAGTGACAGTTTTAGATTTTAATGATGAGCACTGTATACTAACATGTAAATTTGTAGATTGTCAGGGAAAGGGTTGTTATTGCTGATAATTCGTATAAATTTTGTTTCTTTAACTGATCTTTCTTCACGAATATGCTTAAAATATTCAGCTGTCTTGTATGTCCTTTTGTCCAACTTTGCCACTTGTGAAGTGATACACACATATGCTTCATCACAGTTAATAGTTCAAGCTTATCAGAGGGCTTAGCTTTTTAAGGTAGTCTGAAAACATGTATGAAAGGAATCATTGCCTTCAAAATCCCTGGTATTGGCCTCAGTGATTCTTATAAGGGCTTCTGGATGCTGTATTGATACTTGTGTTTAACATATCTTTCCACTGGAATGTATTGCAATTCTCTATAGTAGTGAGGGATTTAAAATTCTTATTACTGTGCATAACACAAGCTGCAATACTATTTCCCTGTCCTTCAGTGTTGTTACCTCTGAAAACAATACACAGAACTAGAGAAGGACTATTGTAATACAGGAAGCAGTAAAGACTTTCTATTTGCAAGGTACCAGAATATTTGTGCTTTTAAAAATTTATTATTCATATAAAATGCATGTAATAATTGTCAAACAGTGTCTGTTATTTTAAATTTAGAAGCAACTTAAGAAATTACATTATCTAAATTCATCCAAGGTTAATAAAAAATGGAAAAATTGAGAGATCTATGGGAAAATACTGTTTATATATCTGCATTCCTATAAATACGATGAGAGGAAATTATACTTCTTTTTAAAAAGAATTAAATTATTTCTTGTCCATTCTTTTTGTGAATTTCCCCAAGATTTTCTAATATGCTTTAGTGGTTTTTACTTCTAGATCTTAGTTTGGACTGATGCTCCATATGGATTAAAAAACAGATAGTAAGAGATGGATTCACGTTTTCAAAATCATCAAGTTATTTGAAAGAAAAGTGCTTCACAGTGTTAAATTCCAACAATTTGATTTGGCTGTTATTGTGGAACCCTGGTATCCAACACTGAATTTCTTCAGAGAGGAAAACTTTATCTCCACCCTCTTTTATGATGTGTGATCCAAAATGCCAATCACTGGGAATGGAATACAATTATATTCACTAATATGTCTAAAATAGAAACTCTTGCTGTCAATATATACTCATTAGTACTGAGTTGCAAATGAATTCTGGAATTGTGCTCTTATTAATTAGGTGGCAGACTAGAAAACTTCCTTGCTTCTGTTTAGCCAGATGGAGGGACAGTGGGTGTAATGACCTATGTTGGGCCTTTCCCAGGGGATTTCTTTGGTGTTTCTTGGTGTCAGTATGGGTCCATCTTCCATTTGCCATTTAAAATAAACAGCTCCAAACTTGCACAAGCGTACACACTTAAATTACATTCAGAAAAAAACATGGTAATTTTGTTTAGTTTTAAAATTAGTCATGCAATCACATTCTTAAAATTCCAGAGGGACTTGGGCACACACAGATTCAAGGTGAAATAGATTTTTTAGGAAAATGTAAGTCAGTCGGCCTTTTTTCCTTATTATGTTAGTCTGCCACATAGTCTATCAACGTAGAGAAGTTTGGTTTGGCAACTCACTCTCATTCTGGTCTTTTACTATTTTTTTGCCTTATGAGTTGCTTAGAATTCTAAGAGGCTTCAGTGATTCAAAAATGGACTTCTGGGGGAGGGGAGGAGCAGGGGAAGTTGGTGATCAGCCCGCATGAAAAGTCCCTAATTCTTTAATTGACCCAGTATATTCTAAAGAGTCATCGAGTTACTTAAATGTGTA